TGTGTGTAGCACTGTGATGCTCAGAGCTGGGAGCTGTGACTTTGGGTACACCCCCAGCCCTTGAGTACAGCTCAGTCTTCAGGTCCTGTTTCACCATTGATAAGATGGAAGTAACAATAGCCCCACCTTCACTAACTTGCTGTGGGCATTTAATAAGATACATCTTTAAAACTTCTCTGCAGTGGGCTCACCACGGGAGCCCTGAGGCAAGTGTGAGTGTGTGTGTGCACTTCCTGAGGAAACACTTGGAATCCTGCAAGAAGAGGGTTTAATTATTTTTTCTTCCTGTACTTAGTGCAGGGTCTGCAGGATCTACAGGGTCTACAGGGTCTCACTATGTAGGTTAGACTCATAGTGATCCTCCTATATTCAGCCTCCCAAGTGCTGGGATTACAGGAGCACGCCACCACGCCCAGTCTCAATTGCCTTCTTAGTGTGCCCCACCGGCGGGACCAGCGCGGCACGCCAGAGATTGAACCCCAGCTACTGCGCTCTGCCGAAGCAGACACTTCAGTCTGCCGAGCTATCTGGCCAGCCCTAGGGACAAGGTTTACAGAAGAAAAGGCTACTTTGGAAAGAAGAAGTTGGGAGCCCCAGTCTGGTATCTGACAGTCACACCTCTCTCTTGCTACCTGTTTCCTTTGCCCTATGCCTCAGAAGCTCCTGGTCGTCTGCAGGACTTTGACTTCATTTCTCTTGGGGGGCTTTTTAAAATTTCCTGCTCCACCCTATGCTGTCCTTGAGTAGGCGACTTTCCCAAACAATATATCTGCCTGAAACCTGTCCAAGAAAGGCGTTTCCTGACAGCAAGGTGTTCCATTTTGGGACTGAAATACGCCTTACAGATTAGCTATCTAAATTTGATTTTCTGAAAGGATTGATAAGAAAACACCAGATTTATACTTGAGTGTTGGTCCAAGTAGCAAAAAGTAAATAACCTAGATAAGCATGTGCAATGCATTTCTCCCCATTAAGTCCTGTTTGCCAGCTTGTAAGCCAGTTGTGGGTTTTCATCTCTCGTGTCGGCATGTTCTCCCCGTCATGCCCCCACCTGTTCTCCCATCCCAGCCCTTCCTTAGACACTGCCTTTCCTCTCTGCTTCCTTTCTCTGGTCCTCTTCCCTTGCCTGGATCACTTGCTGTTGGAAGACGTCCCAGACCCCACTGACGATGCCGTCTATGCTGTTTCCTGGTGTGAAGTCTTGCTGGAAGGATTTTGCCTGACCTGGCCTTCTTCCCCCAGCGCCTGGGGTGCAGTCGGTCCTGAGTGCACTGAACCGGTGTCTCATAAGGCAGAGAGAGATGCAGTTGTCACTCCCACCACCTAACTGCTGGGGTTGGAGGCAGAAGTTGCAGAATCTCGCTATGGTCCCTGAAGGCCACAGAGATTTAAATATGCCTGCTCTATTTCTTTTTGTACTGGAGAAGATTTTTCTGTGAAAATCAGACACAGCTATTGGGTATTGGATTTTACAAATCCTTTTCCTGCTCATCCTTCTGACCATGATAAGTCACTTAAATGCCTAATGTCCTTCAATTTTTGCAGTTTCCGTCTATAAAATGTGCTGCCCTGGGGATGCAGCTTGGTTCCTGGACTTATTTTTCCCATGCAGGGGTGGTGGGGAGGGGTTCGTTGTTTGTATCCACAAGAACAATGAGTGTGGACAGGTGAGCTTTGGAGTTTCCCCTTTAGCCACAGATGCTGTGGGAAGCATCATGAATGCAAGCTGTAAAAGATGATTGATTAAATATGTGCTAAATATTTAATATACATGTTTCAAATATGTATACTAGCCGAGAACCATTGGCTGATCTTAGATTGAGCCTCAAATCCAAAGGCAGAGAACTTCGCTATTAGAAGGGTAGCAGTAAACTTGCCTGACCAGACATCCGTGAGGCAGAGCTCCTACAGCAGGTCGCACCAGTCACCCTCATGCACATGTCCCCCATCAAGTGATCAGGTGGTCTCTGCAACCACATGGGGGGAAGGGCGCTGGGCGAGCCCCAGCAGCACACGGGGTGGAAGCATCCCACACACATGGCGCTCCAGAATGGAAGCCACACACAGCAACGGCTGCTTCAGGGTGAAGCCTCTGAGGTGACCCTGAGGGGAGTGGTTGCGGGTGCAGGGCAGGCATTTATCACCCTGTGTTGAGCACATAGGCACGTTCATTGTGTGAAAACTCCTTAGACTGTGCATCTGTGATGTGCACTGCTTGCTGTGCATTTCTTTCAACCTGAAAGAATTAATCATTAGGTTTTCTTAGCACCTTCCCTAGGCTCTGCAGTGTACCAGGAATAATGGGGACCATAAAGAAGCATGAGTCACCATCGTAACCACCACAGGGGCCCCCATACCCCAGCCCTGGCCCGGTCCCTTGGTTGTTTTATTCACCAGAACTGGCTCTGCCTGCTCTGAGTGTGTGGCTTTGGATACAGCACCAGAGGTCATGCTTTGTCTCACAGCCCAGCAGCACTTTGAGACCACTACAGAGAACTCTTCCCAGTCAGGTGCCTGCTTTGCCCTGGGAAGGCAGTGTCTGGAAAGGAAGCCAAACTTCTTGATACTCTTGCCAGACAGAGACTGTTTTACAAAGAAAAAAACCCTTCTGTAATGTTTAAAAGTGGCCAAATCAGATCTTTCTATCTGGGCTTTCATCAAGGCCTGCTGGAATTTCTTTAAAGAAGAAAGCTTTGCTAGAGCTGATTTATAGTTCTCTCTTAATGACTGTGCTCAGGCAGGGAAGGTGTCTCCAGTACTTCCCCCCTTTATTTATATTTTTAATTTCTCATTAGACCTTTCAGCCTGTTATTGACCCTTTTAAGGGTCCTTACTTTGTGAACCAGCTAAGACAAATGTTGATGCAACACCTGCTCCCAGATTTAAATCGCCTCCGAGTTCACCTCGATGCAAGTCTGTTGAAACAGTAGTAGCCTGCACACTCATGCTGCCCATGGGGTACCTGCGGCAGCCACCCCTTGGGAGCTGCAGAGACAGTGCTATGCAGCGCACCCCTCTGCCCCCACTCGGCTTTGGAGAGTCACAGCTCCATGTAAAATCAGATGCCTTAGGAAACTTGTGGAGTAATGCAAACGTGTGTCTTGATTTGGTGGTGGTTCCACATGGTCTAGTACTCATCAGATTGTACATTTAGAAAGTGTGCAGCTTAAGGCCTATTTAAGGCTAAGACTGTAGCTCAGCATTATTTGGCATGCACGTGGCCCTGGGATCGAGCCTCAGCACTAAAAAGTAATGTGTTTATTGTGCATCTGTTTCACTTATATTAGTGCCTTAGAAACCCTAAGTTACACAAGGGTTATTAATGGTAATTCTTGTTACTTTTTTTAGGAGAGTAACAATCCAACTTTCCTTATACCAAATGACTGTTCGGAAGGACATCTCAGGGTGTCACTGGGTAGAGGTCGCTGATTCTACTGCCCTAGCAAGACTTCTAAGCTGAGCACTGTTGATGTTTGAGGCCAGATCATTGCTTGTCCCACGGGTGACACCATACATTACAGTATGTCGGCATTTGTGGCCTCCACCCCTGGACTCACCTTCCCCACGTGCAGTGATACAGTCAGAGGTCTCCAGACACTGCTCCATTTCCCCTGGGGGCGGACTCACCCTGCTTGCATAGCAGCACCATTAGCCCATGTTTGTTGAACAAAATATTTTGGCTAGGCATAATCCAGAATTAATGTTTAATTTCTGAGTTGGTACCAGAATGGTTAATATTTTTGAAATGAATGGAGATAGTAGTAAGGCTTTGGTGTACCCCTTCCTTCTACTCCGTTTTCTGTTATGGATGAGATTCACATGACCTAAAATATGTTCAGGAGACTCATGTGACCTCTAAATTTATTGTGTCCCTCCAGCATCCAGGGCTGATTTCAGACACACACACACACACACCCTCAGAGCCTAGCCATGGATACTCTTCGCTTCCTGGTGCCACAAAAGGGTCATGGATGCCATCGTGGCAGGTGTCTGCAGGGAGGCAAGGAGAGGCAGAAGGGGCCAGTGCAGTTCACCTCAGGAGAACTTTCCCCATGACTGTAGGATTTTCAGATTGATCTCTCAGTGTGTGGAACTGAACCTCCCTCTCCCCATATTTCTTTTCCTTTGTTTTCTAAGATGGATTGAGAGCAGATCCTGACTGTACACTTTAAAAAATGCCAATAATAGGCATGTTTGCATTATACAAATGGGCAGCCTTTTCCACCTTTTTTATTTTCTTTGTACTTTAGGGAAGGGTCTACTGGGTGTTCAGGGTCTCACTATAGATCAGACTCTAGTGATCCGCCTGTTTACAGCCTCCCAAGAGCTGGGATTACAGGCACATGCCACCATGTCCAATCTCAGTTGTCGTTTCAGTGTGCCCTGGGGGCGAGGCCAGCAATGCAGGCCCAGGGATTGAACCTGTGGTCCCTGTTCCTGCTTGCAGGCGCTTTGATCCACTGAGCTATTTGGCCGGCCCCCCACCTTTTTTAGATATGTTTTTTTTTTTTAATTTTTTTTTTTTTTCTTCCCTTCTTCTTTTTTTTTTTTTTTTTTCTTTGTAGTATCAGGGATTGAACGCAGGACCTTTTGCTTGCCAGGCAGGCACTTAAGCTGCTGAGCCTAGCCCTTTTTAAAATTGTCATTCTTAATTTGAGGAGGGAAGAAAAGACTTCTTCAGACTGGTCCTAGTGACACTGTGGCTGCAAAAAAGAATTGTCTCCTGTGGTAGACATGAGGTGGCCTTGCTGTGAACCAGGGCCCTGCGCCAAAGAAGTTCTGCCGCAGGGATGGGTAGAGGGCCCTGTGCTCGCCACTAGCCTGATGCTGCCAAGGTGCTCGAGGACCTGCTTGTGGAGCCAGGCTTCCTCTAGTGTCACCTCCTTGTCTTGTTTATGAAATAAATACATCCATTCAGGTGGGCAGTGGTTGTTTCCACGCACTTCTCAGTTCTACCCAGAAATACTCCTTGACCATGTGCCTTGCTCTTGTCTCCTCAGAAATACCTCAGGGACTTTTTCAGTGTGATGCTGCAGTCGGCGACATCTCCCCTGCACATCAGCAAAGTGGGGGTGACCCTCTCGAAACACACCATCTGTGAATTTTCACCCTTCTTCAAGAAAGGAGTTTTTGACTACAGCAGCTATGGGACGGGATAGAGCTGAAGCCATCGACGCGTGCCTTCACTTGGAAGCAGGTCCGAGGCAGGAGTGGCCAGCCAGGACACCTCGCATCGTTCTTCCCAGTGCCTGAGTCTGGTGGTGCCTGATGGCGGGCTGCTCCCCACTGTGGATGTGCAGGGCCCTCCTGTGTGCTTCCTCCTGTCATGCAGTGAGTCCCTCCTGCCGGCCTCCAGCCCCATCCCAAGCCAACCGGACCCACAGAGCAGGGGGCCCCCCAGACCACCCCTAAGTGACTTTCATTTGGTTTCCTCCTTCACCAAAATAGACTTTTCTTTTTTATATCTCTTCCATATGGCTGGTTATATTCCCAAGAAAAGCATTTTAAATTATTTCATTATGGTTTCTCTTTTTTTCTTCTCATTTAGATCATAACTTCTGTATAATACTGAAACACTGATGTTTACACAGAATTTCATATTCTGCAAAGGAGATTGTTGGTCCAATCATGACTAGAGTCTTCCATGCCTGACAAACTGGATATAGGTGACATTGCTGCACATAGGACATCGTATAGCCTTGAGTGTGGGAGGACGTGTTCCCAGACCTCAGTGGCCGCTGTGCGACCTTGAGCTTCTTCTGCTATGCACAAAACAAGTGCAAAGCTGGATGCATATTTTTAAACATTATTTTGTTCACATTTTTATTACAGAATCTATTACATCTTCAGCTAAAAAAGTAGAATTTGCAGTTGATTATTGATAATCCCTTAAATTACTCAGGACTTAATGTACTGTCACACATCTATGTACAGTCAAGCTGCTTTGTTTTACTAAAGAGAAAAATGTAAAAAAGACATGGTATATATTGAAATGTATATGATTCTATATACATCATACAGATTTATTCTATATAGATTTATATATGTACACACATATGGCGGTTGTATGTAACTAATCATTCACACTAAATTTATTAAACGTATTTGCTTTTTTGAAATTTAAATTGAGCTGCTATCAATATTAAATGAAGTGATGGAATCTACCCTGTAGCTCATTTTAAGTTTGTAACCTGATCCGCTCCTACTGTTCTGTTTAAAAATTGATCTTCCGTGCTTGGAAAGATGCATCATGTATAATTTAGCATTTGTGTCGTAGAAGATGCAGTTACAATAATGAGTGAAGTCACAAATGAGTGGTTAACAGTCTTGGCTCAGTCTTTCAAAACATACCTGTGCAACAGAGCCGGCCCACCTCGGAAATACGTTTAAAAATATAATTATCCCCATAAGGAGGAAATTATTACTGCACTAATTAAATATTATAGTTTAGTATGAAAAAAATAAGGACTTATTTTCATTGCTGCAAAAGGACTTGCTTCTGTCTGCCGTCATGGTTACAGACCAAGGGGTGGAGGAATAATTGCTAGCAAGAATGTAAAACTACAGATTGGGGGACAGAAACCAGGAGAATAGTTGTTAATTATAAATTACTTATTTAAAAGGAGTCCAAGCTCTAAAGACTGTCCCTTACTTACGGAGTAAATGGTTTTTTTTCCTGGCCCAATAATCTGTCCCTGCCCCTTGGGATATGTGCTAGAGAGGACTCACGACAAGCATTCTCCAAAATACTGGACAAGAACAATTGGACATGTGCCTATAAGAAGTGTTGTCATCTAAAGATCCTTGTATTCCAATCCTCGTCTCAAGTGATTACAGTTAAGTTTGAAGCTCAAGGACTAGCTGGCTCTGGTTATAGCAGACTGTGACATAAATGAGTTATTTTGCCTCCATAGATATCAGTCTCCCCACCCAAAATGAAGCCATGGTGCTGGTTGATCCCTAGGTCTACGCTGGCCCAAGTGACAGAAGGAATGAACTCTGCAGTAGGACTGCGATGCTCCTCTTATGCACCTATGAAGCGATACTTCTGGTCCAGCTTTACAGGTAGCTGAGGCTAATCACGTGTCAAGGAAAGCTGAAAAGCAGATGGTAAATCATGAAGAGCAAATAGTGAAATTCCTTTTTGGAATAAGATAGGTGGCTGAGTAAGGATGACAACACTAAAATTTCTGTGCTTTGGAATAACTTAAAAGAGTAAAACAAGTTGGTGACTATGTTATTACTCAGATACCAAAGTAGGAGCAAGCTGAGTACCTCAGGCAATTCACATTGGCAAACTCTGATGCTTACCCTTGATTGTCAACTTGGTTGGCTTGAAAGACACCTTGGAGAGGAAAGCACACTTCTGAGAATCGCTGGGTGGCCCATAGGTGCTTGACTGGCTGCCCCATCTGACCCAACCCCTTCCTCCCTGGCTGTCTCCCCTGTGCCCTGCTTCCCAGCCACTGTGGAGTGAGGGCTGTGCCACAGCATGCACTTCCACCATGGTGCTCCTCCCTGGAAGCTGGCCCTGGACTGAATTCCATGAAACCACAAGACAAATTAAACCTCTGCTCTCGGTGTAAGTGTCTTGTGTTTTGTCTCAGCAACAGGAAAGCTGACTCGTGCATGAGCCATCGATTTAGACTTCTGTAGTGAGCTGTACAAAAATCTAAGGAACTTAAATACTTCTTTTAAATAGTTTTAGCATTCTTTTCTGTATCTTGCTTATTCACTAAGTACAGAGTATACCAATGTTATTTTAAATCACAAGTAATTAGGTAAACTTTGGTCCTGTTTCCGATCAGATCTCACTATTTCTGAACTGAATTCAGATGCATCCCTGTGATTAAGCAGATGACAGAGAGTAGCAAGCCATTGTCACTGCCAAAAGACTGGCATCTAGGCACCTCAGGTCCATAATGTGCCAGTGTTTTGAAGATACACGAATCGAATGCCTGGTCCCAACTCTATTCAGTCCACATTTTTTAAAAAAAGTATTTAGTACAGGGTCTCGCTATACAGATCAAACTCATAGTGATTCTTCTGTTTTCAGCCTCCCAAATGCTGGGATTACAGGTGCATGCCACTGGCACAGAAGCCGGGGATCGAACCCCGGTCCCTGCCTCTACCTAAGCAGGCACTTTAATCTGCTGAGCTATCTGACCAACCCTTCAATTCACATTTTATGCAATTTTTTTTTTTTATATAAATGAGAACAAGTTCAACACAATTCTGCCCCTCTCTGGCCTACCCACTGAGCTCCAGACAGCATGGGCACCCAGTGTAGTAGAAGCAAGCGGAAGCTTGCCAGGGTCAGGCTGCCACGCACACCAGAGGGGGAAGTCCTCCCCACAGGGCCACCATACAGCTGCAGTTCCCAGCCACAGTGATTGGGGGCACTCTTTGGCATTCTGGGTGACTGTTCCCTCTGTGAGCTGTGTGAGATAGAAAACAGCGTTCCATTGTCATTGGAGCTCCTTACAACTCATGTTCTGAGTCTGCGAGGAAGCAAGCCTCATCCCCTCAAAGAAATGCACGTAGCAGTTTAAGCCATGCACCATGGTACCCAGGTATGCAGGCTTCAAGCAGTACTATTAGATTTTCAAATGCAGTCTCCTTTACAGATGTTTAAAACGGCTAGAGGTGTGGACAAGTGTACCCTCCTTCAGCAACAGGTGCCTTCCACACGCAAGAAGATGCCTTGGCTATTGTCCATTTTTCTTTCCTCTGTTTAGGCTGTCTTTGCTGATGATGACTCATTAGGTGGAGTATCATTCTGTGGAAATCAGTTTGGATTTTATACTAATGGAATTACTTCCAAGTTGAAAAACTACTGGCCATTATAAATCTTCAGCACATCCTACTTGAGATCACTGCTAGAGTGCTGCGTGGGAGTCAGAGGGGTCATGTTGGTAGTGGCCAGGTTGTCATCTCCAAGGTGACTGCTCGCAGCCCAGCAGGACTGTGCTAAAGTTTAGAATAGTGGGGCAGACAGAAAGGCAGTTGGCTGAACTGGGGTTCAGGGCTGTGAGTTCAGCCTGCTCGCCTGCAGGAAGCCCTGCCCTGTACTTCAGCTTGGGACTCTGCTGTGAGCTTTGGTACAGCTCCTGAGAGGCTGTCCCCTGTGTCCCCCAAAGTCTCTGCTCTCCTTTCTCTGTCTCCTGCAAAGTAGCTAAATGCAAAATATATTTTTCTTTGACTGTGCTTATTTTGTACCTATTTATGAACGGAATGATGAAGGGTTTCTTTTAAGAATTACCTTTCCAGACACTTGGTGGAAATTTGAGGTTTATCAGCTTGGCTTTGTATCTTCTCTGCTACTGGAAACCAGCTCTTTCCCCCTTCCAAGTGCCAAGTGGGTGCTTGCAGAAAGATGTGGTGGCTCTCTCCAAGCATGGATGGAGAGCCATGAACCAGGTTCAGAATGGGGAATGCATAAAGGAGAGTGCAGAACTCCTCCTGCAGTCCACTTTTGAAATGCTTTGGTAACATTAAAGTAAAGAGAGTGTCATTTCTCTGGGTTTTAAATCTGGAAAAATACATATGTGAGACCCAACCACTTGAAAGCAAATTATTTCCCTCAAATTGCCAGGAATCCTTACGTGCAGTTAATAGTTATGGCAGTGTTTATGTTTTTCCAGTAGCTCTTTCCGTTGGGCCTGGGAGAGGCTCGCCTGAGAGCAGCCTGACGTCTGCTGTTCCCAAGACTGTCCTCCCTGAGCCTTTCTGTGGGGAGGCGGGGAGGGAGGAGGAGAGCAGTGGAGAGGAGCGAGCTGCAGCTGCTCTCAGAGCTGCCAGGACCCTCAGAGAGAAGAGGACCAGTGAACAAGAATACCAGTTTGTGGTGATTAAGAGTTTCTTTGTTGTTGTTTTTTTAATTTGCACTTTGGTTGATGTCTAAACTCTTATTAGCTCTTCTAAAAACAGAAGCTCGACCCTGTGGAGAAGCAGAGGGTGGCCTACTGTCCCAGATGATTTGGCGTGCCTTATATACAGCTTCAATGAATACAATAAGAAGAGTGGATCCACAGAGGGTGCAAGGCTTCTGTTGCAAAGTAATTAAAATTTTGGCTGGTTAGCATTTCTAAGTGAGTGGGGAAGGTCACATTTTGATTTTCAAAGCATTTTTGGTACCTTCTGATACTGGTATCCCAGTCCAAAAGCAAAACTCTCCTTGAGTGCTTTGGAGTACAGAATACTCCTAGGGTACCTCATCCAGAGTTCACTATGTTAGATGTATCAAGCATGTGTATAGCTCCCGTGAGTGAACTCTGGTGCCACCTAGATGGCCTCAGCCCCGGGTGAGAACAGGCCTGGTGCCCATAAAGTGCCCTACCTCACTGTTAATGAAAGATCCGGAGACAGAGAAGGTCAAGCCTATGGAAGTGAGCTAAGTATTTGTAGTTGGCCTTCGAAAATTCATAAATTGTGGACGACCCTTGCCCCACTGGAAGTTACTCATCTGAACTCATGCCACAGCCACCTTCCCTCTCCCCTCCTGCTGTGGGGTGAAGAAGGGTCAGAGCAGACTCTGACCATTGTTGTGGTTGTTCCCATGCTGGTGTCAGAGCGTCAAAGAGAGAGCGTGGTAGAGAATCACAGTGAGCTGCCTGTGTTCTGCTTAGCCCTTGCTCTTAGGAACTGAATGACCATCCTCCATACCTAGCCACCACAGTCCAGTCATTTGATCCCTGTGCAGGAGATGTGTGTGTGTGTGTGTGTGTGTGTGTGTGTGTGTGTGTGTATCTCCCACATCCTGCCACAAGGCCAATACCAGGCACACAGTGAGAAATGCGATGCCACAGGCTGTCCCTTGGGAGCTAACAGTGCATTCAGCCTGGCCAGTAACTGCACCATCACATGATTACAACTTGTGACCATTGTCTGTGAGGAAAGTTGAAGGAACCAGGAGAATGTACACTAAAGAAGATCTTCCTAGGTGGCTGGAGCTCCCCTAGCAGCTGCCATCAGAGGTGAGACTGAAAGGCCAGCAACTGCTGGGCCAGCAGATGGAGTGTCCCTGATGGAGGAGACATTGCCCATTGGCAGCAGAAAATTGAAGGGGTCATGTGGGAGGCAGAGGCAGATAGAGGCCCCCAAGAGGTTGTGGTTGCAATTCTGTGGCAGCGACCATGTTTTCCCGCTGACTACCACTGTTTCAGAAGCTTGTCCCCAGGGAGGCAGGGGAAGCCATGTGACACAGGCATGGGAACAGGGCTGAGATGCTGTCCCGTGCTGTCTGCACATTCACTGTTCAGCTCCTGTACATGGACCTTGATTGTGTTGACTTCCAAAGTTTCAGTAACTCTTGCCATTGAGCAGCCTGGCCTTCCAGACCCTGTGATGTCCAGTTTGAAGGTGTCATATGTGTGTACTGTGGTCACTGCAGCCATATAAAAGGCCTATGTTTGGCTCCTATCTAATCCTTGCTTTGTGAGCAGAAAGTAAGTGTCGCCATGCAGTCACAGCTGTCATGGAGCTGCGTGACTTAGCCTAGTAATCCGCAGTCCCTCGGGAGCATCGTGTCTCCCATAAGCCCACATGCCCCTGGTACCAAATCACCTACCTGCCCTGAGACCTTGTGAACCTCAATATTGTCATCACAGCCATCTCCCCAACCCAAACTAAAAGACTGCATCTGTGTCTTTAGCTCATACAGCGTAACCTATAAACTCATATGATGTGCATGTGGGGTCATCAGAAACAGTCTGTTCAACCCATTTTTGGGTTAGAGAAAAGGCTTTACTGGAATAGACATGAAAGCCTCTTAGCCACTCTGAGAGCATGGTTCAGTGAAGTGTCATGTAGCTCAGGACCCCCTATCAGGTCTCCAGGACATCTCAGAATGGACCACTTCTATACATCCAGTGCTGTTGTTCAAAGGGACTATTGTGTCCGCACATTAATTCACTAGTCCGTTTATTGAACTAACTTTTCTTCTTGGTACAAGAAAGAAAAGTCATTGTTGGTCCCCACTAATGACAGTATCACTGAGAGAGGACAGACCACCGTTGGGCTATGAACAGCATCCCCCAAAAGCAAAAGGCCCCAGTAGCCAGGACAGATGTCAGTTAGGCAGGAGCAGGTGGTTGGAAGTTGGCCTGTGGTGGCCCCTGTGTTTCGTGAACAGCCAAGCCCACGCACCTTCTCTTAGATGCTAGGAACACCCACAGCTGCTCTTGCTCCAAATCCTCAGTGTCAGAAAGGATATGTGGGTGCAAAGCAAGAGTGATGGTAGAGGTGGGAATCGCACCTTCAGAAACAGTCTGTAGGTAGCTTTGGGCCTAGTGTGTAAAGCAAAAAAGCCTGAGGCAGGGTGCCGAAAGGGCTAGTTTTGATTTCAGATGAAGTGTCACTCACCTCTGGACACATGGGCTGTGACCTCAGTGAGCTGGGTGGGTGTTCTGGCCGGCACTCTCAAGGATCCACAGAGGTGGCAGGTGCCCTGTTGGCTTTCCAGAAAACTGCAATTATCCTTCCACCAGTGGCCACATCTGTTACTGCATCTTTGAACCAGGCCTCACTGTGCAGCAGCAGAGTATCCATGTGGTTCAGCAAAACTTACATAAAGCAGCTAC